TAAGAACTAGTTTGTAAGTTTGGGCAGAATTAACAGAGCACGTGGGGCATAGAACAAACCACGCCCCCTCCTTTTGTGTTAATGTGGAAAGTCTCTGTGAAATGAGTAGATTGTTCCAGCCACATGGTAGAGCTCCATAAATCCATTTCTCTTAGATTATATGAGCTCTCCCTTCCATCATTCAGCAGGGTCATTTGTACAGTGCTTCTCCCCAACAGAATGAAGGAAACTTCATTTGATTCTCTTGAAACTATCTCTTTCAAACAACATAGTATTGGAATAACCAAAAAATTGTGAATAATTCAGATTCTCACCAGAATTCCAACTGGAGCTTTTAGTATAGACGCAAGACTCTTGTCCTGGCTAGAAGGTGGCCAGAAAATCAACAGCCTTTAAACAACTTGCATGTGCTCGGGTTCGGAGTTGAATGAACAACAGTCCTTGATGAAAGTTTGTGTCATCTGCTGGTTTGGTCTGATTTACAAAGGTGCCTTTGCACCTCGGAAAAAATGTCATAATAGGAGTGATTATGCCGTGTCTGGCACTTTACATTTTCAGCACACTCACTTGTTTGTACATTGAACAGCCCTATCAAAGCTTTTCAGAAGCCTGGGGCTGGCTCACGGTGAGACCCAGAGTACCGGCCTTCGGGACTGTGACACTCACCCGCTCACCTGTGGCAAAAATCTCCTTCTAGAACTGATTCTAGTATGCTTGAATACCTTTCGTTTTAGAGGAAACAGCCAATGAAATAAAATTTTCATGTGTTATGTCTCTTCCTGTTCAGCTATGTATAAACATTGTTTTGGAAGCAATTTTTCACACATCTATAAACCCATAGTCCTTCTTCACAACTTTTCTTTGTTTCTCCAGCATTTCCTACAATTTTTAGGAAAGAGTAAATGCTCACATTTTTTTAAAAAAATAATTTACTTATTTTAATTAGTTTCAAGTTATACATTGGTTAGACATTTATATAGTTCATAAAACGATCTCCCCAATTGCTCCCTCCCTCCCCTGGCCCTCCACCTAGCCAACATATTAATGCTAACTGCATTCCCTATGCCATGCTCCCCATCCCCATGACTATCTATTAACTATTAATTTGTACTTCTTTAACCCTTCACCCCATTCTCCCAGCCTCCCAACCCCCCTCCACTCTGTTCGTCACCAAATTGTCCACTATATTTGTGAATTTTTTTTGATTAGTTTGTTCTTTTTGTTCTTAGATTCTGCATATAAGTGAAACATATGGCATTTATCTTTCTCTATCTGACTTATTTCATTCAGCATTATAACTTCTAGGCCCATCCATGTCATTGCAAATGGTAGGATTTCATTTTTTTTAATGGCTGAGTAATATTCCATTGTATATATGAACCATAACTTCTTGATCCAGTCATCTGTTGATGGGCATTTAGGTTGCTTCCATATCTTGGCCATTGTACATTGTGCTGCCATGAATATTGGGGTGCATAGATCTTTACAAATTATTGTTTTGGTTTTCTTTGAATAAATACCCAGAAATGCAATTGCTAGGTCAAAAAGGATCTCCATTTTTAATTTTTTTGAGAAACTTCCATACAGTTTTCCATAGCGGCTGTACCAATTTGCAATTCTCTCAACAATGTATAAGGGTTCCCAAATGCAAACATATTTTGGTGACAGTTGAAATTAAACATTATCTTTGTTTTTATGGTAGTTGGGTAAGGATGTCATTCTCAGTAACTCATTAGGAAAAGAGAGACAAAAACTGGAGGGTACTAAGTTTGAATTCATTTTCAAATATTTTTTCAAGGTAGGGATTGCTGAATGTGCTGTACTTGAGGCCAGGGGCAGAAGGGTGCTAAGAGACACCATTATTTGTTGAAAATCCATACTTGTGAGTTTGGAGGCACTGGCCTCTGTAGTGAAGATTGGCTGGAAGAGATGAGCTGAATGAGTGATGACTATTGAGGAAGTGGAAACTGCAGATATTAGGAACTTTGGCCATAGGGTTTCTGTCCTAGCCTCTCGTGTGTAGCTATATGGCATCAGGAAATCTCTGAATGTAGAGTGGTCACTCTACTTAGTGTGTTGAGTTGACCTCTGGCTTAGAGATAAGTCATGTAAAGTCCTATCACAGTGCCTGGCAGGTGCAAACACTCACCTATAGAAGCAAATGCTTAAATCCCAGTGATAATGAGCACAGTTAGGCCATGCCCTAGGGGCAGCCATGGCTCAGCATTATTTGGGGAACAAAGTAAGTGGGGAGAAAGCTTCTTAGAGGCTATGGTCCTTGAGCATGATGACAAGTGTAGTTTCTCATTTCTTCCCTTGCAGATACTCACAAGGAGACTGGAGGCATGTGTAGCAGTGGTACTTATTTTTAGTGGTGCCAACTCCTTTAGTGGGTGCCAACTCCTTTAGTGGATGCCAGGAGGTTTTTGTTGTTTTTGCTTTAAGTCCCCTTCTCCCCTTACCCCCTTGCCCCAGTTGAACTCAGCTGCGTAGTGATTCAGTTTGTTTTGTTGAAAATTCAATCCCCTAGGGAAAATATGATAATGCTGTTTACAGACAGCTGTGTTTAGGAGCGAGACAGACTTAACCAGCTGCCTGGCATCGTTGGAGCCCAAGGACCTGCCAACCCATGGAGAGCAGCTGTTCTGGCTAAAATTCTTATCATTTTTATGACTTTGCTTCCTACATTATCAGCTTTTGAGTTTTGCTTTTAAATGTATATACAAAGGAGAGAGGGCCATGGGAAAGACTCTACCTACCGTGTCTGGGGCCACCCATAGTTGAAGAGAGTGGGGTGCTACCACCATCCTCTTGTTATTCATGATTGTTGGGAAAGAGCAAGATGATAATGAGTGGATCAATAAATATTGATATCTTAACATAGTGGGGGTATTTTGCAACCATTAAGAATCATGTTTGAAGATTTCTTAATGACAGGGGGAAATGTTACAATATAATGTTAAATGAAATGTATAGGTAAAAAACTGTATAAAAATATAATCATAATTATGGAAAAGTGTGTTTTAATGTTAAGTGAGATAACTCATACAAAGCACTTAACCCAGTGCCTGAAGTGGCAAGTACTCAGTAAATCACAGCTACTAAATGCAAACTCTCAAACTATAGAAAACATGTTTGCCTCATGTTCTGTTATGCTCAGAGTGCCTGGTGTAAAGTGATGCTCAAAAGATCTTTCTTGATTGAGTGAATTAGTATTGTTGTTGTTGTTGTTGTTATATCCATTTAAAAAGAAATCTAGGGTCTACGGCCATGCCACCCTGAACAAGCCCAATCCCATCTGATCTGAGAAGCTAAGCAGGGTTGAGCCTGGTTAGTACTTGGATGGGAGACCACCTAGGAAGACCAGGTGCTACAGGCGTAAAAAATAAAAAATAAGGGATTGATTGTAAGCTGACAAGTTCTTTGCAATCTGTGACGCCAACCAAGGGTAATCTTGCCTAAAAAAAAAAAAGATAAAAAAAAAATAAAAATTAAAAAGGAAAATAAAAAATAAAAAAATAAAAAGAAATCTAGAAAATCTAGGGACATGGGTTTCTGTGTCATCAGCTATAATTATATCTATGATTGTGGCAGCTTAACCTCGCTGCCTCAGGTCTTCATTATAAATGGTGAGGACAGTAACTATTGCTCAAGATCACTGAGAACTGAGTGAGCTACATGCAGTGACTGATCTCTAGGGAGCCAACATTGAACAGTGGCTACCGTAATCGTGGTAAGCACCAGATAAGCGGTAGCTATTATAATAATTCTGCTGTAGTAAAATGATAGTCGTCCTGATTTTTGTTTATCATTTTCTTCCCATTTTTTACCTTGGACTTTTTTTTTTTTTTTTAATAAAAGCTGAAAAGAAAAAAGTTCACAAGAAAATAAAACTCAAATGCTAACAGTGGTTATCTCTAAATACTGGAATTGGGAAACTTTTTCTGTTTTCTTCTTGATGTGTTTTTCAAATTGTATGTAGTATTTATATGTTATTTTTATCATTAAAGGAATCTCCCCACCCCCTCCCCCAACCCCCTTTTAAATGAGAAAAGAATGCTTAGGCATCAAAGGTAACAGAGCTGCTGAACTAGAAAGGATGCTCTCTTTGAGAATGATTGAGGACTAAGAAATGGTGTCCTGCTCTGGGCTTCTTTTTGGTATATTACTTAAATGCATGTTTACCTTACTGTTAAAATGTACAGCTGAGACTTATCAGATTTCGTTAACCAATGTCGCCATAAAAAAATAAGTACATTTAAAAAATATTTTTAAAAAATTCGTGTTTCACATTCTGAGAAAGTTGTGAAGCAATCATTAAAAACTGAGAAATAGAACCAATGAGGAAAAGTAAAGAGGTTTTGAATAATTGGTTCTGGACAAAAGTGGTCAAAAAACTTTAAGTCCTGTTAACAGACAATGGCTTATATTTAGCACAGCTGCTTTCCATTTCCCTTGGAGAAAGCAACAAAAAGAAGACCAGTAGGAAGTATGGTGGAAGAGTTGGAAATGGAAGCAAATGGTTAGCAGGCTCTCCGAAGGAGAATGTTTAATGCCATTTCCTAGAGATATTTAAAATAGTGTCCCGAGCAAACGCTGATGGTCTTTGCATGTCTTTTTCTTACTGATTCTTAGATACCACGAATCTTGCAGTTGTACTTGTTCAGCCTGTGCTTTCTCTCCAATTCATGGCAGCATGTACCCATTTTATGAATTTTACTTACAGATATTCAACACCGTGCCTGATGTGCCTCTCACCAATGCCCAGCTGCACCTGTCTCGGAAGAAGAG